ACTTCATCTTTCTCCCTCCCTTGTTCTCTTCTTTCAGTTCCTCCCTCCCTCTCTTCCTTCCTCCCTCCCTCCCTTCTCTTTTCTTTCCTTCCTTAGTTCTTGTCTCTTACTGCTTGTCTCTCCAGCTTATTTTCTGTCTTGATGTATCTACAACTTGCACATAGGGTGTCATCCACTCTCTACAGATGCTAGCTTAACTACATCTGCATCCTCCTGGCAGGTGAGGCACTACCACTAGTATCTCACATGCCAGAGAATGTGCTGTTTTCACAGCATGCTGGTAGGTGTTTAGACCTCAGAGAAGTTATGGCAGCTCTTGAACTTGCCTCTGATAGAACGAAACAAGGGTATTTCTTTAGCTTTGGTCTATCTTTTCTCAATTCCTGATTCTCTCACCTCAAAGGCTTTAGAGAAGTCTGCCTAGCTTTCCTGTCTGCTCTTTATTCATTTCAGCATTAACTATTCACTTTTGCATGTGATGTACTCTGGTGTGCACAACTATTATGGAAATTTTTCTTTCCCAAAAGAAGCTGAGCTGATGATTGACTGGATGGACAGTGGCAGGATGTCTTTTATATTAAACAGATTTTTATAGATATAAGTCTGATGACTAGTAGTGGGGATACCTGGATGGGAGAGGGATAGGGGCGTGTTATGTTTCATATCGTAGAGTGGAATTTACAGGTATACCTGGTCCATGGCTTTTGCTCTGAGTTAATTCTTTAGCCCAAGTGATGTCTAGAGGGTACAGGGCTGATGCAGGCAGATGCTTATTAGACTTGGCATTTTAAAACGAGCTTGGAATCCAATGTCTGGAGAATGAGAGAAAACACAAGGCATGAGGCTTATTCACGGGGTCTCATCCGTGCCACAGGGTTACTTCCCAAAGCTACTATTTAACTCTATAAAGACCTACTGGGTGGAGACAAGATACGAAAACAGTTTTTGCCTGTTTTCCAATGAGAGCACAACCTGAAGATTCAATTCCCATCACTGCTTGTTGGTGACAGGCAGTACAGACTCTCTTATTCTGGTTGTAAAGCCAGTCCTTAACCCAGTTCTTGCTATCATAAGGGGGTGGGCAAGATCAGTTCTGAGCTGAGCATGTCTGGGACATGTATGATATTCATTTCCTTATTCCTTACAGAAATGAGAAAATATTATTTGTAAAAGTAACTTTTATCTGTCTGATGTAATTGTCATCTTGGAGGCTTACTGCTGATACGCTCACCCTTTCTAGTTCTTTATAAACTCTGGCTCGCTGGTTCCACTCAACTGTTCTACCTAAACTCTTCTTCAAGATGACTGATTCAAACTGACTTTTTTCAGCTTCTCACTGAATTGCTTTGCTTGGCCTCAGTCTAACTCTGGTAATCTGTTCTAATCTCCTGGCTCCTTTTTATTCTCTGGCTTCAACTGCCTCTGCTGACCTGCACTGAACTGCATTAAATCACAAATGAACTCAATTCCACACCATTGCACTCACACCCAACTGACTAAACCAAACTACCCCAAATTGCACTGACTTAACTTACCTGCACTAAACTGACTGAACTGACTTCAACTCAACTCCCCTGCCTCTCCCTGCTCTCTATTAAATGGCCCCTCTTTCCTGTGCTGTTCTCATGAGAGTTGAGCGTATCCTATCCCATCAAATCTTTCTCTGATTCATTACTTTGTCTGTCCCTCAATTAGACAGCATTGTTTGAGGTTAAAGGGGTGTACTGAGGGTGTGTCTATATTCCAGCAAGAGTAACCAGGTTGCTGGATTAAAATTCCTCTTCAATCATGTATCTTCTCTATTTCCTGAGTTTCTCTAGACAGCATGTGAGAGACTTTCTGAGAGTCTCCATGAGGCAGAGACCACTTTGTTTGTTGACACTTACTTCTGTAGTGTTTTAAACATTCAGAAGCCATTATTTGTAGAATCTTGTGTTTTTTCATTGACCATGTTGAATGTCACCCGTTGGCCTGGAAGGAATTATAGAATACATCTCAGATGTCACTTTACAGGTTATAAGCCAAATTTCCTCCAAAACATTTAGATTTTTCCTGCACAGTGTCCTTTTAAGACACTAGGGCTGGCCGGGCGGTGGTGGCGCACGCCTTTAATCCCATCACTTGGGAGGCAGAGGCAGGCAGATTTCTAAGTTTGAGGCCAGCCTGGTCTACAGAGTGAGTTCCAGGACATCCAGGGCTACACAGAGAAACCCTGTCTCGAAAAAAACAAAACAAAACAAAACAAAACAAAACAAAACAAAACAAAACAAAACAAAAAAAGACACTAGGACTGGCTGCACTGTGAATGTGTGACAGTGCACAGAGACATCCAGAGGATCAGTGATCAACACTGGGATTAAATTCTCCAGGACAGCACTGGTTGTGACTCCTAGCTTCAGATCTCTCCATGTCCTGTCCCCACTGTCCCCTGATGCCTTTCAGAGACCCCTCTCATTCAAAGGGATGATGCTCTTAGACTCTGGGGACCCTGCATTGAGGACTTGCTGTCCTAGCCCTTATCCCTGTCTGCAGAGTTATTCTGTCCTCTGAAGGGCGCCAGGGCTCTGGGTCCCTTCCCAGGCCCTCTGAGTCTTTGTCCTGGACAGCATGGCTTCCTTCTCCTTCCTTCCACTCCCCTTCTCTAGTTCCCTTAGTGCATGAAAATATGCTGATGTGCCTCATTCATACTTGCACATGATCTCCCTGTAGTTCCCACCAAACTTGCGGTCTTTACCAGTCAGTTCACAGTCAACACGAAGGGCCTTCTTATCCATGGGGTCTCCTTGCTAGGAACTGACTGTTTAATAAAGGAAGAAACATATTGGATGAACACTGTGGTACAATTAAAAGCTGTTTTAATGTTCTTTTACTGCCTGTCAAAGTTATTGTTTTAGTTGGTCATCGCATTTAAAACTCAGTTTTCAGCTACATATAGAAATTTCATTTTTCTGAGATCCTTAGAAGAGCAAATGATTAAAGATCCAAACCATAGGAGCTCATGGAACCAGGAAGTTTCATGCATGTATGATTAGCATGGTCTCTCTGTGTGCAAGCTTAACTCTGAACATTGTCCTTAAGGCCTCAGTTACTTTCTGAGCGTAGACACTCAGAGAACCTGAAGTGGGCAGGTGGACATGTCCAAACGCTAAGGTGGCATTTGCTTCAGGCACTGTGAGCCCCAGAGACATGGTCTCTTTGCTTGCATCCTCACCGAGACCTGCAGAGCATGTGGCTTCTCTAAGGTCCCAGGATAAGATGGCCTGTTTGTCCCCTGCACCCTCACTGCACACCTCCTATGTGGGTGAGGTGATATGCTGGCTTCATATCCCATTGTCCTAGTAAAGGATGACTTAATCCCAAAATGTACTTTCTGCAGAGCAACAGCCTTGCCCTTTGACTTGTAAACTCATTTTAGTTTCCTCTCTCATCACTTGTTTTTCATTATATCTGGTGAGTTTCTGTAGACAAGGTGATGTCATCCTCAGGCCAATTAACCACAAGCCTCTTGGTTATGAAAGAGTCTCTTGCTGATAAGGGAGAGAGTAGAGCCGGGCAGTGGTGGCGTATGCCTTTAATCCCAGCACTTCGGAGGCAGAGGCAGGCGGATTTCTGAGTTTGAGGCCAGCCTGGTCTACAGAGTAAGTTCCAGGACAGCCAGAGCTACACAGAGAAACCCTATCTCGAAAAACCAAAAAAAAAAAAAAAAAAAAAAAAAA